CGGGCCCTGCCTCGGTCGCCTTCCGCCTTCTGGTCCCAGGTCCCCGGTCCCCGCCCCCCCCAATTCCTGTCCTTGTGGGCCACGGACTCTGGCCCCGACGCGAGCCCCGCGCCCCCCAGAGTGAAGGCGGCGCCCCTGGGCCCCTCCACATGCGTGCTCGCCCTCTCCATCCGGCCCTGCACTTATGTTTTTCCTCATTTGGGGTAGGAAGGGACGACACCAGGCAGAAGGCCACTGGGCATCCCTCCTGCACCGAGGATTCTTCGCAGGAAGCCCGCGGAGGGCGCGCCGAACCCCTAGGTCTGGAGAGGAATCAGTGGGCACCAGGCTGGGGTCTTTGGTCCCCCGAAGGTGCAGCTGGCTTCGGGCCCCTTGCGCCCCCCACCACTGCTTGCAATCCCCGGCACTTAGATGTCCCAGGTACCCGGGTGCCCCGAGGGGTCCCCTAGAGGCATCGGAGGTGCCGGGCCGGACGCACGTTGACGCGGTGTCGCTTTACAGAAACTGAGTCAGGTGGGGCACGGCTCGGGCCGAGACGCAGAGCTGGAGGATCCATATTTATGCTTTAACATATTTGCATATTGAGCGTCTGTTTCTAGTGCACAGAAATGGCACAATGGCCGCCCGGCCCGCTGCCCGCCGCGCGCGCCGGGTCTCCGCCCGCCGGATGTTGACAGCGTCACCTAGCAACGGGAGATGGCGGAGCCGGGTGGCGAGGCCGGCGGGTAAGCGGGGCCGCAGGACCGCGGGGCTCAGAGCGGACCCCGCAACTCCCCCCTGCTGTCGCCCCCGGGGCGCCCCTTCCCCTGCCACCCCTTTCCTCCCGCCTCTGCCCCTTCCGTGCCCACCCTCTGGGCCTTTCCCGCCCCCGCCCCGGCTTCTTCACCCTCTCGCCGCCGGTCCCTTTGTCCACTGCGGTACCCTCCTCCCTCTTTCCTCTCGCTCTAAGAGCACCACCCTCTAAAACCTTGGGACCCTGTCGCCCCTCCGTAACCATGGCAACCACTATGCTTGGCAGCGTCTGCTGCGGAGCCCCTGCGGTGGCGCTGGGGAGCGGGAGACCAGCCCAGCCCCCGCCACCCTCCCGAAAGGGAGGATCCCCCCCACCAGACTTGGGGGTCCCTCCGGTCAGGCAGCCCCTCCGCCAGTGTCCTGACCACACCGAGAGGGCAGTCTGCTGAAGAGCCGGCCACCAGGCACCCGCTCTGCTCTTATGCTTCCTTTAAAAGCATAGAAAGTATTGGAAAGAATTTGCCCTTTACCTTAGACGCTTCCGTATTTTTTCAGTTTTTTTTTTTAAGGTAGGTCTCTGTACCTCAGGGAAAGAAGTCAGGTTACGTTAAGTGAAAAGGCTGAATGCCAAACGGTATGCGGAGAGTGAGCCCTGCCTTGGAGTGTGTGTGTGTGTGTGTGTGTGTGTGTGTGTGTGTGTGTGTGTGTGTGTGTGTAAATGCATAGAAAAACATTTGAAAGAATATACCTTAAATCTTACTATTACCACTTGAGAAGGAGAGGAAAAGTCACAGGGGATTTTTATTGTTTGCGTCACACATTTGTGTTTTAGTTTGACTTTTTATTTAAAACATAATACGCTTGTATTTTCTGATCGGAGACAAACCGAAATAATTTTAAGAACGTAACTCAGGACATTCTTTCACCAGCCAAGAGTTCGCGGAGCATTTGTCCTTTTTGTGCGGTTTCCTCTTACTTTGTCTTCCTTTTCCCCCGTTTTGTCACGGACACGAGTATATTTAAGGCGACCTTTCTGGCGTAATCTATCTGTGCCGTTCCTTTGCTGTTTCATTAATTGTCTCATTCATTCATTCATTCATTCATTCACGGAGCGACTCTTTCGTGGCACTCCCGCCACGTGACAGGCATGATTTAGTTCTGGGGTTAGGGACACACATGACAAAGTCATGGCCAACGGCCAAGAGGGGAGGCAGATAATTAACAAGTAAATAGATATACAGACATCCAGGCGGTGACAAACGCCAGGGAAGGCAACGGCTATTACGTGAAACGATTATGCTGTCTCTCGGCCACCAGGTCTCGCCAGGAAGGACGCTGGGCTTCTGAAGGCGAGGAGGACCAGCATAAGGAAGCCGACAGGGTAAGGTTCCCCGCGGGGCGAGTCGTGCCGGGCTCGTGTCCACTGGGAATTAAAGAGCTGGGACTTGCTCGGGGACACTCCGTACGGCCACAGAGAACCTGTTTCCCTCCACCCCACGCAACGCGTCGGTGGCCAGTCAGGGACACCAGGGACATCCTACTCTTCCGTGGCCTGAGTTGTTCAGAATTCACTTCCCGAAAAGAAGGATACAAAATGATGACAAACAAAAAAGAAGAGAGAGTTCAGATGAGTGAAAGCACGAAACGTGATCTCTCAGCGACGCGCGAACGCTCGACGGCAGCTTTCGCGTCCGCACGTTACTCTGTGGAGAATCCGACCTCACGAATCCTTTCTACTTTGTTCCCTGATCCCCCCGCCTCCCCGCCACGGCCATAGGTATCAACGACAGAGGAGACCAGTGACCGGGAAAATGAAGAAACCGTTGATGCTCCAGAGCATTCGGAAGGGGAGGCGACAACCGGTGGGGAAGCTGGAAATGACGAGGAAGCCGAAGACGATGACGAGGAAGCCGAAAACGATGACGAAGAGGCCGGAGACGATGACGAGGCCGGGGACGATGACGAGGCCGGGGACGATGGGGAAGGTGAACGTGAGGACGAGGAGGCGGTGGAAGCGGAAGAGCCATCGCAGTTTGGAAGGGAGTCGGAGTCCGACGTGGAAACCACCTCCGCTGAAGGCAGAGTCAGTTCTATAGACCTGAGCTCCTCGGACGTCCATGCCGAGGACGCGCCCGCGGAGGAAGCCGGCCCCACGGACACGGGCGACCTGGCGAGGATGGAGGCTGATCTCGAGGACGGAGAGTCCCTCTGGCTGTCGGAATCCAGAGACGAGGAGGACACCTCCACAGAGCCACCCCCGCAGGTACTAGGCTCATCTGAGCAAACGGGTCAGGGTGCTTCTGGACGCGGGGCTGGCCAATCGGTGAGTGTCCCTGAGGTCCGTTTAATGCAGGTATTTCGCCGTCTATGTGCTTTGTCACCCTATGTGAGGAACTCGGAGTACACCGTAAACACAAGTCGCAAATCTCTGTTAGAAATTCCTTTTTTTTTATGCCGAGTGTCGGACCCGCCGAGTGTCCCCAAACCCAGACGCTCCACGTGAGGCCAGCGCATGTCCGGTCTCCAGAGCACTGCCGTCCAGTCAAACTTCCCACGGGGACGGAAACGCTCTTTATGTGGCCGTCCGTTCCGAGTGGCCACGGAGACAGAGGAACGGCTGCGATGACCCCCACGAGGAGAGCCTCGGGAACCACCCCCTTCACCCCGTTCCGTCCCCTCGCCCCGCATGAGCCAGGCTCACCTGTTGGCTTTAGGTCTGGAATGTTCCGGAAGGGAACCCGGGGGCGGGTGCAGGGCGGGGTGGGAAGCATTGCATTTCTCTGTCGTCGACTCTGGGATGCAAGCTCCCGTCGCAGTGAACCCTGACAGCAGCCCCGTGAGGTGGGGACTGCTGTCATTCCCATCGCACAAACGAGGACACAGAGGCAAAGGGACGTCCTCGCCCCGGGTCACGCCGCGGTGATGGCGGACGGTCGCTCTTTCACGGGAGCCTCACGCGATCCATAATCTCTGAGCTCTCCTTAAGCTTCATGTTTACAAATGACACACGCGACCCAGACCGCTTTTAAGAATTAACAGCGACCAAACGAACAGCGTGTTTACCTTCTAAGGTGACCACTGGATTTGAAGTGCAGGTCACCTGGGGAGCTGTAAACCCAATTCCCATCCTTGGGCCTAGTTTCTGGAAAATTCGCTGGGAAACAGCTTCCAAATTTGACCCACCAGAAGGACAGAGACCCCGAGACGGAGCCTCATTTCCTTCCTCTTCCGAAGAGACAGGATGTAGAGTGGGGGCTGCCGAGTCCAGCCCTGTGTGGCGGCCTCGCTGACTTCTCATTAGGAAAAGCCCCGTCTGGACACCCCAGAGGTGGGCATTTGACTCGGGCTCCCCACTGCTGTCACTAAGGCTCTGGATGTAGCAGACGTCATTTTAGAGCCAACGTCACTTGGAGAAATAGAGTGAGAAAGAGCGTTAGCTGGGGGTCGGGGCAGCCCGGCTTTGAACACGCCCTTGGCTGCTGCTCACACTTCAGGCAAGGTCTTTAATTCCGTGAGGCCGCCTCCCCCACAGGTAAGAGAAGCCACTAGTGTCCCCCTGCCAGGGCTGCTCAGGGTCCCTGTGGCTGGGAACCTTCTCCGGTTCATCATCAGCAATAATTATTGTCGACAATAATAATTACAAGAGTCTCTTTTAAAACTAAAATGGGGCCAGGCGTTTTCATCGAGGGGAAATATTTCCTTATCAAAATGTCCCTAAAGCGGAATGGTCTGAAAGGAGAGAAGAAATGGACCCCTTGGGGGGCCGCTGCCCGGGGCTGAGGCCTTCCCATATGCTTTTATAGAGAGGATGCTCAAAGGTGTTGCTTACCATTCTCGGGGGATCAGCATTTGCAGGAAAGAAACCCATACCTAACAGTCACCTGTCCCTCAGCGTCCATACTTTGCTTCAAATCTAAACAGGCAGAGGCCACTCCGGGATTTCTTGTTGGGGAGATGATTTCCATTTTGACCATCTGCAAAAGCCAAATAATGTTTATCTCCAAATGGTTTTCTATTCCTCTAACAATCATGTTCGATTTTGAGCACCGTAACGAATCGCATTGAATGACCTCTCGGTCCTGATGAAGCCCTCAGTGATGCAGGCTTGGTTGTTCTTGCTCTAGAAAATGTCTCACGAGGAGCCCGTGCAGAAGGCCCCTCCCTCCGGGGCCTGGCGCCGCCTCAGGCTGAGCCAGGGGAGCAGCGACAAGTCCTTTGAAGAGCTGCTCCTGAGCTTGGAGGAGCCCTTCGCATGGGGGCCAGGTACCGTGGCACTCACCCGCGGGTGAGCCCCTTCGCAGCCCCTCCGTGCCAGGGGTACGCCACCCATTACCTCCTTTCCTGCTCGGCTAAGAGCCAACACATAAAACTATCATTAGCAGATATGGTGAACATTTACTCTCCGCGCTAACCGATGAGGTGAGATCTATTCTCCATTGTGCAAAGACCCTAAGAGTCATTAAGTAACTTGTCCCAGGAAGTGGCAGAACCAGGCCTTGACCGAGATCCGACGGCGGCCCAGCCCACAGCTCCGACCACCGTGTCTCACGGCCTCCTGGTCTCAGAGACGAGCTCGGTGACGGCGCCCCTGGACGCGCGTCTGTTTGCTGGGTTTCAAAGGCCCTCCCGCCACGCCCCTGTCTTTGCTGCTTGGCTCCTGGGTCCCGCTGTTGTGTAAATGGGAAAACAGGGTACTTCTCTCTGCGTGTGACGCAAACGCCAGGCGCCTCGCTTCCCTTACAAGCGGCGCGAGGACAGCACACACGTGAGCGGGTGGGACGCGGCTGGGGGCCGCCCGGCTGAGGCAGACGAGCCCACGGCCAGCTTCCTTTCCTCCAACCTTATCAGCTGCGTCCTTTCCCCCGAAATCGGTCTAGTCCGTCCATACAAGCCACCTCTCCGTTCCCTATTTATGTATCCAAAAAAAGTATCTACAGAATATATTTCCTTTTTTCCTGCCTTTAGAAGGGGACCCATCCCCCGGGGGGCGCTGCACCGGTGACCCGTGGGCAGAAGGCGCCACGCCCCGCGCTTCTGAACCCGACCCGCTCGCGGGCCCTTCCTCCTTTCCACACGCGACACGAGGCTGGGAGTCAGCCTTGTGTGACGCCGCCGCCAACTCCCAGCGGTGTTCGCTGCCCCCCAGGCGCCCCCCTGGAGGAGCCGGTCGCCCACCCCAGGGAGGGAGCCCAGCCCTCCTTCCTGGACAGCATTCGGCTGCCACGCGGGCCGGAGGAAGGCGCCTTGGAGAGAGTGGAGTCCGAGGGCAGCGACGAGACGGAAGACGACGGGGCCCAGCTGGTGGTCCTGGACCCAGACCACGTAAGCAGAGAGTCCCCGGGCCTGCTTTGGCCCCACACGGACATGCTGCCCCCTGCCATTCAGGCCCTTCTCTGCCCTCCACCTCCAAGGCCCGCTCCCCACCCCCACACGTCACGCTCCCATCCAACCCGGGGCCCCAAATCTTCCCCGCTGGGGCTCGGCCGGCTGCTTGGTAAAGCGTATTCTCCTTTTAGGCCATATGCCCCGAGTCAGCGTTTCTCAGCCTCAGCACCGCTGGCATGGGGGACCCGCTCATTCTCTGTGGTGGGAGCATCTTGGGCGTTATGGGATGGGCGGCACCCCTGGCCGCCACCCGCTAGCTGCCAGTAGCACGCCGCTCCCTTAGTGGTGGCAGCCGGATCATCTCTAGGCACTGTGGGGTCAGGGCAAAACCGCCCCGACCGGGAGCCAGTGCCTTGAGTGTCCCAGCCGGGTCATGTGTCCCATCCTCTGAGACCTCTGGCAAGCGGGGAAGGCAGGTCTTGACGATGGATCCGTTTGGAAAGCCCCATGCTCCCCGTCCCGTGGGAAGATAGGGGCACGTTGGGAAAGGGGCTGGGTGCTCATTTTGTGCAAGGACCCCCCTCTGGCCCGCCCCTGGAATAAAGCCGGGGCCACCGCCCCAGCTTGCCAACACACGCACTCAGGACGAGACCTCTGGTGTCCTTACTTTGTGGCTCCCCAGAAGTGGGGAGCCCCTCCGAGTGGTAGTCATTCCCGTCCATTAACCCCCTCCGATAGCGGTGGTGCCTCAGGCTAGGTGCGGGTGGGGACAGGGGACTAACGGGTGTGCTTCACGTCCTTGCAGCCCCTGATGCTGAGGTTCCAGGCTGCTCTGAAGAGCCACCTGCACCGCCAGATACAGAAGCTGACCCTGGAGCTCCAGGAGCTGGTGCGTACCGCCGCCCTGCGCCGCCTGGCGCGCCCTCGCCCCGCTGACCGCGTTTCTCTCTCTGCTGCAGGACGTGGCCACCAAGCAAAGCCGGGTCCAGCGGCAGGAGCTGGGGGTGGATCTCTACGGGATCCAGCAGCACCTGGCCCGCCTGCAGATGCAGCTGGAGAAGAGCCACGACCGCCACTCGATCGCCGCGTGCGCCCGGGGCCACAAGGAGCAGGAGCTGCAGGGCGTGCGCTGCCTCTACGCCAAGACCTGCGAGGCTGTCAACGACGAGCGCAAAAAGCGTAAGCGGCTCTGCGTCCCGCGGGGCATGCGTCCCCGAGCGCCCCATAGATGTGTAGATGCGGGTGCGGCCCGCGGGGGTTCCCAGCCTCCTCGGGAGGGAGGGCATAAGGGTCCGAAAAGGCAGCCTCTTAGGCAAGCAGCAAACGCCGAGGGGCGCACGGTCCAGCCGCGAGGGAGTCAAAAGCAGAGGAGGCCGGCGGGCTGCGGGGGTCCACGGCGGGCGTGTCCCAAGGTGGGGGAGGAGCGGGACCGGAACCGGCGCCATCACCCAGGCGAAGCCAACCCAGGGCGCAAGGGCTTGAATAGCCGGGGGCCCACAGCTGGCGTCGGCGCCGATTTAGGGGAAACCGGTGGCTGCGGACCAGAGGACACAGTAGGGCTATGACTCATTACGCGCAGTGTGACTACTGAAGCGACACCCCGCACGCGGGGGGAGGCAGGGGTCGTGGGTCACGGTTGGACAATGGCTTCCTTCCTTAAGCCTCTGGGGGTTGTTTTAGTGTTTGTGCTTAAAAAAAAGAAAAAGTCTCCAACGTTCTTTATCGACCCTGCATTAGTGCTACAATGCGGAAAATAACCTAAAAAGATGCGGAAGAAAACGGAATCCCACGGAAGTCCCAGGCGTGGCCGGAAAGAAACGCGTTGGACCCCGAGAACTGCAGGAGAACGTTCTGGACGGGAGGGTCTGAGCAGGTGCTCGCCGGTCACGCTCTCCTCCCCGTCGACGCCAAACCAGCACGAACGCCGGAAGGAGAAGGACGCGACATTCGCGATGATAAGAGCCCCGTCCCGCGCACGTAATGGATTCTAGACCAACCCGAAAGCGGGCACAGCCCCCGCCCCCCGACGCCCGCAGTGAGCGCCGCCAGCGCCCCTCGGCGGGGCTTCCGGGAAGGTCCAAGCGCCTCGCGGGCTTGGTGTCCCCAGCTGCCCGCCTCGCCAGGGACGGAGGGGAAGGCCACCGACCGCTGAACCTGCACGTCAAAATATGAGTCATCAACAGCGGTCCCCAGTCCCCAGGGGAGGCGCAGACGCCTCCGCAGACAGACCGGATGCGGAACGCGGAGCAGAGCCTCGCAGCGCCAGCCCAGTCGGCGATGTGCGTGAGATTTCAGCGGACAGTCATCGGTCAAATGAGAGCAAAGTGTTGGGGAAAAGGATACTTGGAATTTAAAAGTAATCATCAAAAAATTTAAAAAAAAAAAACCAACAAAAGTAATCATCTAGGAAAAAAAAAGTAATCATCATCCGAGAAATTCTCCCCAGAATTCAGCGCGGAACCCCCAAGCGCAGGAGACAGACGCCGCGGTCGGTCGGCAGCTCTGGAAGGGGTCATAGCCCTGAGATAGAGTCCCGAGGTGAAGGGCATTAACTCGTGACGTCCGAGGAGACCGTTCTCATGAGTGCAGGGAAACGAGTCTTGTGCAGCCACAAGGTGGGAGGAAAACACGAACGTGCCTAGACAGAGCTGGTGACGTTCTTCATTCCGAAGGAAAGGGGAAAAGGCTGCAGGCTCCCAGGCAGGATGAAACCAGACACTCCTGTGTCGTTTGGGACAAGCCCGCCTCCGGGCTCCCCTTGAGGTGTAATCCTTACTGCCACACGGAACACTGTGAAGCGTCCTGCTTACGAGGTGCGAACATCCTGAATAAAATACTAGCAAACGGTACGTGCTTGCTCAGCAACGACAGCTTAAGCTCGGCAAGATGTTAAAAGAAAAATTCCCCTTCGTCCGGAAGGGCTTCTTTCCGGAATAATGCGAAATTAGGAAGGCTCCCGATTCAACGCGTTTTATGATTCGTCGGTTGAAGGAGAAGGGAAAAAGATATTTTCTGGTGGATGCCCAGTGGCGTTTGATCGTCCATCCTACACTGGGCTGGAAGGAAAGTTCTTGCTAAGCATTTATCAGGAGCTAACGAGGACGCATGTAGAGTTAAAAGACAAACACAAATTGGAGGCAAAAAAAAAAAAAAAAAACATTTGAAACGTCCGTGAACAACATCCACATCTTCTGTTTTGGTTTTCAATTGCCACGTGACAAATCGCCACCAACTGAGGGGCTTAAAGCAACCCCCGTTTGTATATTCGCCCATAGACCTGGGGCCAAGCAGGTTCTGTGGTTGGGGCACCACAGAGCTGAACCCAGCGTCGGTTGACTGGGTTCCCGCAGGTGCGGACTCGGTGGTGTCCCCGCGGCATTCAGCTCCTTGCTGCTGCGGGGCAGGCGGCGGGCCGAGGGCCTGCCCCTCGCTGGCCGTCGGCAGGGGCCACTCGGCTGCCTGAGGCTGCGCCCCTCCTCT